TGTGAGATAATCGGCAAAGTAGATCGTCAACCGAAATAAAATAGAAAAGCTATGTGTGTTACAGGACGGATCGTAGATGAAAAGTTATTGTTATAATCTATGCAAGTTCTTCCCCAATAAAATTTTTTAAATAATGCTGCTCAAGTTCGAGTGAGACCTAATACTACTTTTAAAAGAAGCCTCCAAAAATTCATCCTTCGACAGGAGTCAAGCCCGACCTCCAAGACATTAGTTAGGCGTTACTTACACGCAGACAGAAAGAGTCAAATCTGAGAAAATTTTTGTTTTACCCCTTACATGCATATTTCATGGGGCAAACAAATTTTAATCACGATCAACAAAACATTACTCTTTTCAAGTACATTTGTGAGACTATACCATAAATATAAAAAAGCATTTCCATGCTATAAGTTGTTAATATTATAACGTCCAGCTACAAATTCACTGCAAGATTTTCACTGTGTTCTGTGAGAGTTCCAACAGAGCTGTAGCTGCATCTAATTCGCGGATTTTTCTTTCCCTGAAGAAAACAGTAGAGCTGAACAAATCATATAAACTTCTCGCGGCTTCAATTCCCATCTGGGAAACGTTGTTTCCAAATTGCACAGCTGTCGTTGACGCCAGACTGAGGAGACCATGGGCAGCGTTTATTTCTGAAGGGCTGTACATATGATTCGTAACTGGCTGCTTGCCCTTTTGCTCAGTAAATGCAGTGCACTGATTAACGAGACTTTTCTTAACACCCTGCTTGAAAATCTTGCTTTCTTTGTCGACACCTTTCACTCTTTCTCCAGGACAACTTTCCTCTGATTTGCGCTGTCTTTTAAGATCTGGCTCCGATAGTTCTGAATGACTTTCCTTTGTTGAAATTTCTTTGCCGTCAGAATTATGTGGAAGTTCGCCTACCATTTTTCGCTTCCGATTTTGTCGCAGACCATAGTGCGCAACACTATTCGCGTTTTCTCCCCTGGCGCAATTACCGTTGCTGTTCTTCTGGAAAAGTGGATGGTGGAATTTGTAAACCTTCGATGGCCTTGAAGTGAACACTCTCTGAAATCCAATTCTGTAAAGAACGTCTGCAAAACTCAAGAAGTCTTTCAACCTCAACTCTTTCAATACTCCTGGCAACACTTCTTTTTCAAAGAGCTTTGGACTCGTAATCAAAATAATTGTTCCTTGGTCGGACCATCTGATACAGCGCCAGTACTTTCCTGAACTGATGGTATCAAGAAGAAGAGAAAAAACTTTCTCGGACTGTATAGCTTTCCTCATTGTTTACGATTGTCTAATAATACACTTGAAACTTCTTCTGACGCAAACTGAGTTATCTGAGAAATTTGAGACTATAACAAGCAAGATATCGTTTTTGTGCGTAAAGCTCTCTCTGATATCAGACAACCATAGCAGTTTTCAAAATCACCATAGGAACTGCATTATGACGTTGCTTCACAAAGAAGCGCGCGCAGTCAACTTTTTGCGCGCGCCGTCAGTATTTCTCAGATCTCCCGTTTGAGTTAAAAATTTCCTGTTGGATTTGGTTAGGCTCAAAAGCGCATGCATGAAAGTTAGTCTTTACATGCGCAAGCTTCAAGAACAACTCGAAACACTTGTGAAGAAACTTTCGGGAAGGGATCGAATTTTTCTTAAGTGTTTCAAATGCTTTTCACACGGCTTTCACATGAAAAATTTCGGATCCATAGGAAAATTCACTGATGAAATAAATGTGGACACCGAACAAAGACCATTCCTAAATTTTACCATCCCACGCGCCATACATCACTCATGCAGATGTGGGTCTAGTCTCCCATAAAGCCTCTGTATTGGAAAGATACTTCAATTCTCGAGAAGCTATGACCAATTTGAACAACGAAATCAGTCACACCAAACTTGTTAGCAAGAAAGTCTTGTCTAAGTTTGACCTCACCCATTTTAAACACTTATCAAGATATTTAAAAATTCGCTTCAGAAATCCATTTACACACCTAAAAACGTTTCTAAGGTCAAGATGTTAAAAAGAGGGGAACATTGTAACATTCTCTTCGCTTCGTCTTCTAATCAAACCTGACTGCAACTGAACTGTACCTTAACCTCGTGCAGTATCAGATCAAGAGGAATAGGTTGATCTTTAAAGTCTCTGTTGAGTAAACGTTTTTCTTTTTTTCTCAAATAGATCCGTTCCGAGTCATGCGAAACAAACCACAGCTTTTACGTCGACTACGATCATTGGTGCGGAGTGCTGTGAAAATAATACAAAGATGAAGAAAAATTGTTTTTATTAATTTTCGACAGCGAATTGTTTTTATGCTACTAGATCATTTTATTGCTTCAAAATATGCGAGTTATCACTCCATAAAGTATATCGACTTTACATAGAAAAGCAAGAGAAATTCGCCAGCTTAACTCTTTATGAATCTAATGAGCTCATTCCGTCGTGAAATTCCATTTCTTACAGCCAAAAAGGTGTACATGTTATAAATACATTAGTCAAGTTCCCAGGCTTTTTCTCTCATTTCGTCGTCCGCGCAAAGTTTAAGGATGAGTGGACAGGAAATCTTTTTTCCGCTACCTGACGGCCCACGGTCAGTAAATGCCAGAGTGAGGAATTTCAAGAATTGAACTGGTCTGAATAATTCAATTTGAGAGATCTATACAAAATCGAAGGCTAAAGAAACTTCTTGGAAAACGTCTGTGGATCAAAGGCCGCCAGAAAATTTCCTGTTTGCTTTGGCCTTGTCTCTCCTGGGTGATTGAAGTATAATTGTATAATTTCTCCTTGCAATATCGCCACATTGCCTGGGAAACAAGTGATGAGAATAAGTAAATACATCAATCACAAAAATTTTAATTGATCTGACAGCAAATTCTCAGAATTAACTTTTTTCTCTAAGGAGAACTGGGAACGAACTGGTCTCTAAGGGGCCCCTTGTAAAAGCGTAAGCAATAAATAGGTTTGAATTGAAACATAAACGTTAACAATTCATCTCTTCCTCCTCAGAAACTTTTTTTGGCTGCTAAATCGGAATAAATGAAAAACCCTATTTTGGATTAAACATAATCCATGTAATACTTCGCCCGGCTCAGATGATACACATAAAAATAAACCTGTAATTTTGTTTCGTTGAAAGATGGCTTGGCGATTTCTGACCAAAATCACTGTAAAACGGCGGGACAGATACATCACTATTACGTTATTTTGACATTCCTCGCACGTTGCTGTCAAACCTCATATTTATTCCATCAAAAATAACATCTTGCGCAATTATCTTCTTCTATGCCGAAAGCGGCGATTAAAAAACAGAAACGTTTTCATGCCTAACTAGTTTGAATATTAAAGGTCCGACGCGAATCTTTCTATTAACCGAAAACTTCCTTTAAAGTTACAAGTAACTAATAAAAACACAAGAAGGACAGAAGTGGAACTGATTCATTCTTTAATTCCATACGCCTCAGGCTTGAAATGAAAACTTGTTCACTGGCGTGTATACAAATTCGCCTTTTTCAATAAAGTATTGATTGATAAAAGGCGATAATGTTTTTGCATATCGAGCCGCGAAAAAAAATTGCGAGTGAGAAAAATTTATGAAGGGGAAATTATAGAGAAAAACAAAATAATTCATGCGATTCTCTGCGTGAAAAACCCAAACTTGTATCATGTTGCGAGAAATTCAAATTATCTCAACCACATCGGCACGTAGAGCGTTTTACTAATAACATTTGCAAAGCTAAGTGCTCCTAAATTTAAATGAAGAAAAAGGAACAGGAAAAGGAAACAACGTTAAAGCTTCTTGTAATTTTCATGTTACCTGGATGGTTTCTTTACTAATGAGCAAGGCTATTAAATTCAAAATAGGGCAATAGAATTGTCGAGTATCTCCATTATAATTGTTATTATTATTGTATTAAACTAGCGCAGCTCTCTACCTCTTCCAAAAGCCTCGGTAAAATTATAAAATTTCAATATCTCTTAAATATAAAACTGTGGTTAACGAGTTAAGCTACTTTCAAATAAATCGCTTTATAACTAAATCGCCGAATTAAAACCAACTCGAAACAGGTTGGATTCCATGGCAACTCATGTCATCGTCACAAATGCGGGCCATGCTGAATTAATTTGTGCCAAGAGTGTTTTTGAACCTCGCGCTGCTTGGCGCACACACCTCCAACGGTGACAAGCGTCCAGCAAGTTATTGGCAGAAGACTTCGCTTTTATATTTCACATCGGAGACTTAGTTCAAGCTTAAATGTGCTCAGAGGGGCAAAACTAATGACAACACGTTCAACGGAATGGGCGTGGTTTGGGGTGGTTGACACAAGTTGGTATCCACCAGGCGCTTTAGTTACCCTCTCCACACATTCGTAATTGCTTCAAATTAGTTCTTAAGGATGGCCAATCACAGGACACTTAGTGCAACAATGTGCAAGGCTTTCGGGTACAAACATTAGACTTAAAAAAAACGAAGATCGCTAGCAAAATTACGCGCCAAACGAACCTATTCAAAGTGATTTTTGCGGCTGACAGATATGATGAGTGAAGCGACGCGATGAAAACGCAAAATCTTCGAACGATACTGTTAACGATATGCTGCGTATCTTATCTCTTGGTCGGCGCGGCAATCTTCAGCGCCTTAGAATACGAAGAAGACCAAGAGATGCGAAAAAATATGACAATTCTTCACAAAACACTGACAAAGAAGTACAACATCAGCGACGAAGACATCGGGAAATGGCTCCAATATCTCGATAGCAAAGCAAACATAGACGCGGATCTTTACCAATGGAGTTTCGCCGGCTCGGTTTATTTCGCCACCACCGTAATAACAACTATAGGTAAGGGTTAACGAGCGCCGGACGCGAAAAAATTAGCTTGATTTAATGCAATACGCAAGAGCTTTGCAGCAATTAATACTGCGGTATGAAAGAAAGTACCTTAGGACGCGC